GGGTACCCCTTGAAAAAATTTCGGAAAAATCGAAAATTTTTTTTTTGTTGTTTATTATTAACAATGTTCTTCCGACATCTGATTTCTTTTTAAAAAATGCGTTTCTAAAGTGCATAAACTTTTGGGATTGACTGTATAGCGAATACATCCTTAACAAACGTTCGAATTTTAACGGTCATGCTAAGCTCCCACCCACGCGTTATGATTTTAATCCGTTCACGTACGATTCATGAATGTATGCACGTTCGGTCGGTTCAATAACGAGAAAGGACGCTGGGCCGATCGACCAATGATCACAAAACACGCACGTTAGCAATTAAGGCTCGATTTCAATTAATCCGATAAATAAAGCAGTTTAATGCCGCCGTCGCAACTATTGTCGCGCTCGTCGAGTAATTGTAATCAGCCTCCGGCGAGCGTTTCTCGAAAACAGTCGCGGCTGAGACCGGCTGGTCCCTTGATAGTGTCATTGATATCGCATTAACCAACAGGCGAACACCACGTATCATCATCAATGCCCGGGCTCCGTGCACGATGATGCGATGACTAGATGCAACCGATGGCCATCGTTAAATGATAATTAATCCTTGAGCACAGATACAGATACACGGTCCTCGCAGTTTCATATATTAATCCTAACGAGGCTAAATTCAGCTGATTTATTTTCGATCGCGTCGTCCTTTCTCTTTTTCTCTGCCTTGCTTTCTCGATTCCTTCGAACCCACACTTCCACCCTATCCCCGAGTCACATTACGTAACCTAGTGTATATGCGTTCGCGAAAGCTGTGATCCATGATTTCGATTCCGTTGTATATTTTCAAGTCGTCGTTAATGAATGAGAAACGAGAGACAGAATTTGTGAAAGAAGAAGATTAGGAGAAAAGTCGAGCGATCTTCGTAAAGAGGATCACGAGCCACGAATACGTGTTTAATAGCGTTCGCGCGTGGACACACGATAGCAAGTGTTTGCGTGCACGAAGTAAAAAGATAAACGGACAGGAGTTGCCCGTCTTGGTGTCTAGTACCAGTACGTTATTAAAGGAAGGCATCGAGGATTCACGAAGAGAGCAGATCAGGTTTTAACGCTCGCTTGCATGAACCTTATAATTTCTCGCTAGTGCCAGCGACGTGCCAACATGTACGAAAAGCATCGAGGGAGAGACAAAAAAAATAAGGGGAGGGGCGGGGGGTTATTATATGCATACGTACATAAGTAGTAAGACGTCGAGGATCTCGTGAGAAAGAGAGAGACGATTTAAGTCGCTGGCGTTGACTAAGCTGATGCCAAAGAGAAGACACATCTGTCCTGAGCTTATACATATGTTAACGACACGATGCTTAAACAATATTATTGATACTTTTATGCGTGGCTATAGTTCGTTCGCGTTAACGTCACCGTCCTTTCTTCGAATCAAACAATTAAGAAGACTACGAATAAAAAAGAGTAATTAATTATCCCCGCGAATCGTCGTGCGAAGAGATTCTCGATTCCGGCTTGCTTTTCGTATTCTCGATCGAGTTTTGTCTATCCTTTCGAAGGTGCTAACAGGGAGCGAGGGGTTGAAATTTTTTAAACTGAACGAAGTAGAGATAAAAATGACGCTGTTAACGTTACCGAGCTATGGTCCGATTGTTGCTATTCGTAAGAATTGTTGTTATACCGCTGTGATCGCGCGTGGGTTTCTATAATACGTTGCCCGATCCGTAATCCGATCGATCGACCGCCTTTTTGCACTCTCACCGAATTATTTGCGATCGAGTAATCTATCTATACTTTAAACGAAGTGCTAAAAGGCACAGAGGCATCCGTAAGAATACTTGAAGACACGCGTCACGTCGCGCTCGTAATTAGTTAGAAAATTGGGGATAATAAAAGTGAAAATAAAACGTTCAAAACATTATACCGTCCATGATGATGATGATGATGTTGAAATATTTTGATGGAAATCGCTAACGACGTTTCGACTTTACGCTCTCTTCATTATCTTTCTTATCCGCGTCGAATCTGAACGACACGCGATCTTGATCACAGACATTTTTTATCGGTAACGCTTTATCGTCGTTGCTTTTTTAAATGTACATATTATATTTTAAAGCTGTTCGCGCATTAACATAAGTACACTTTATTATTGCGAAAGATGTTGTTTCCGTTTCTCATGTTTTGTGTCGTTGCCACAGTTGCGTGCTGTATTCGAACGGAAATTTTCTCAGGAAGTCACTTCAAGTTTTCTTACCCATGCTTACAGACGACGTTCGACTCATTGGCCGATGAGAATTGTATATTATACATATACGCGTATATACATACATATATATTATATCTTTCTTGATGTAAATTTAATGGGGAAAATGAACGAGAGAAAACGCTTCTTGTTTGAAACTCTACGGCTCTAACGACGAATGCGCCTTGGGAACGACGCTTTGTAAAGGGGATTAACCGAATTTCCGAGGCTAACCGGCAGGGTTCGGGCAATCTATTAAAAAACACCAACGATGAGGCGAGACGGAATAAATTCAGAGTGTGTTTTGTAAACGTTTCAAATGGGTACTCGGTATAAGAAAGAAGAAAACACGAACGAGATAATACAAATGATAAGAAAACGATGAAAAAGTAAACCGTAACACCTAATTGTCCATCAGAGGTATCGCTCTGAAGCAAAATGAGAGAACAAGTTTATTTACACGTACGTGTGTACTTATTAACGACACAATGTAATAATTCGCTGAAGCTCTATTATTATAATGATTAAGGATTATAAATAATGAATGTCTGTAATAAATAAAAACTACCACGCAAACGGATGGCATTGAACGGGGACGGAACATTCACTGCGTCTCGTATTAAAAGAAAAATGTCTCCAAACAAATAATGCAACCAACCCAGCGAAATGTGCTACGTAAAAATGATCGGGGCATGCAATACATATTTTTCTTTTAATTCGAGATAACGTTTTTCAAACACGTGTTACTATGAGCTAGGTATCATCTGACATAGTCGGGTACGTTTGTTGAATTTGCTAGTCTGAAAATCGGAAAACAGTAAATCGGATCATGCAGTAACGAGTATAATTTCCCGTATTATACGAGCTGAAGGCAGCGAACAACTTTGACTTACATTTCCTAGGAGGTACTCGAAACTTGCGATGCTGGATTAAGCGCCTCGTAACGATGTCAGATTCCGTGATTAGTATATTAATAACAACATATTCTTCACATCATTAATTAAAATGATAATTGGTTCAAAGTAGCTGAATTAATAGTAGAACTTGATTATGCATTTTATAGTAGAAGGAGTATTTAAACTCCATTATATAGTGTTCGATAATAATGGTACCTTGTACCAAAGAAATAACGATTTCTTGTTCACATAGAATTACTAACTAAGCGAGAAAGCTGGAGCATGGCAAAACGTGGCCCCGACGAGGCTTAATCCAGCAGCGGAACGGTAACTACAACGAAACTTAGCAGTAATGTAACCATAACGTAATACATGTTAAAGTTGTAATAATCGCGATGTTCAGGGGAAAAGTGTGAATAATGTAAGATCGGTGATGTCTGTTGTTGGGTAGGAGCGGTCGTGTACCGCGCAGTGGGGCCAAGGGTGGGCCGAGTGTCCGTGAGCCCCAGCGGGGGTTGCACCGGTAAGCTTCAACCCCAAAGTGCCAGGTTGTTCCACCAAGTTCTCGTGTTCTCGCTCGTGTTGACGGTAACCGTAATCCGTAGTACGTAGTACGTTTACCCAAATTCCACACGTACACAAGCACACACAGACCGCCACCGACATTCGAACACGTTTTACCTACTGTACGCGTAGGTCCGCGTCGAAACTCGCCGTATGTTATCGCAAGTCGGTCTCGCGTAATTAAGTTTGAAGCCGGTTAAGTAATGATCTCTCTGAATCGGACACTCGATTATTTCGTAAAAGTTTCAACAATCGCGTCTCATTACAATAATTAAAATACTTTCCTTGGAGATGTATGTTAACAATTGTACGAGTAGCGATGCTGCGAGGCTGCCACTCGATCGATACGGTAATTATTGGAGTACAATGGGAGCGGGTTGATCGTCGAAATACGCGGATAATTAGCCAGTTGAAATTATAACGACGTTATTTTTCGTTTGTATGGAAATCACGTCGTGGAATACGGGCGCCGTCAAACGTGGCTTTGTTCCGTAATTAATGCGCGTATACGGAGCTTGAATTTTGTTCCGATAGCCGGGGAAAATCCGTTAAATAAGACACGTCTGAGTACTTCTATTTTATTCAAACAAAAACGAAAGCGACGATTAAAACGTTTTATCTTTTCGACCGTCTTTCAATTATTATTATTGTACGTTCTCTCTGCAAATCTCTATGCAATTTATCCGCGACTCGGACAGTTCCACTATCTCTGCGCGTATCGTGAACTCACCCGAAACTAATGATCTGTTTAATCATCGGCCAACGGAAACGTACGAGCGTGCGCAACCATTCTGTTCTAAATTGTTACTCGTTAGCTTAGAAGTCTAACGAAATCGTTTGCCACGCCGGTGAACCATAAACTCGAGTAAATACTCGGCGCAGTTCTTCCTCGACCACCCGCGTACACAAACCGATCATCAAACCAGAAACAGCACATTAACCCCTTACACGGTCCACGTTACCTGTTCTTAATTCATTGGATACGATTCGTTGTTACCAATTAGTTGTATTAGGTACCTATAGTTCGAGCATTGTTGCCGATAGTGTTTTTATATTGGATTGGTAGGATTTTTGGTACATATAATGTTTATATACACATACATATATATTATTATATATATATATATACATATATTCTTATGGAATGCTTAGGAGGCAGAACATCGTATATTTGTTATAGTTGTGCATCCGTTTGTTCGTTGTTCCACCTGTAACCATTTCGTCAGCGAGGCCGACGATCTATGACATCGCAAAGACGTTTTAAGATTCGTACAAAAATCTTAATAGTTCCATCTTGACTTTTCAACGTCTGAATGATGGATTATTGATTCTAAAGACAAAAGTCTTGTACAATTTAAGACTATTTTAATCGTCTCAAATGTACATAGATAAGACTTTGCAATTAATACGATAATAATTTGCGTAATTGAACACGGATTTTTAGCAATTGGATTTAAATAGTATAAATTAAATATTTGAAAATGTCTGTGGGGAGGTTTTGGGTCTGTGCATTTAGTCGACGGAGAAACACGGACACCCGGCCATTTCGTCAGCTAGAAAATCGTTGGAAAATAACGAGAAACAACTACGGCTGATATAATATGAAGGAAGCCGTTCCAATTTTTTAATGTAATTGAAGTACGCGTACGGTCCGTTGTTTTACGAGGAAGGAAGCCCTAATGCATTCACGTATATTCTCTTCGCGTTCCGGGAACATTGATATCGAATCTATTAGACCCGAGATTGATTCAACGTTTTCTCCATTCGCCAATTTTTAATTTTTTTTTATCTATTCGTGTATTTTACGCAGCACCGTAAAATTAATTGAAAAGACGATATTTTATTCGTTCTATTCTCTGTTTCCTTAAAAACGACGCATCGGATTTCGAATTGTCGCGTAAAATAGGAATTATCGAAGATCTGTTCATTGATCAGCTGAGAACGGCCCTAATCACGCGGTCCGCTGGTTTACGGGTTCTGTTAATATTTCATCGCGGCGCGTTTTAATCGCCGCTGTAATTACTGTAATATTTCAAACAGAAGTCGGACTACTCTACGACCGGTGAATATCAAAGAAGCGATTTAGGGGTGGCGGGCGGCTTCGACGAACGATTTCGCCCGTGCGTCGAAAGTTTGAATTACTTTTCCTTGACTCTTTTCAATCTCCGCCTGCCCGTCCTCGCTCCCCGTCCCACGCCTCGACCGTCCGTAATACGTTTCTCCAAAGCGACTTCTGTTTACCGGAATTGATACAGGATTTCCGAAACTTTTCATTCGGCATCGACCTTTTTTACCCATGGATTCGTGTTCCCTCGAAACAAATCTCCCTTCCCCTCGGCTTCTTCGATACATTCCGGTCGATATGAATTCAATTCGACGTATTTGAATAACGGTACTTTTTAGAACGAGACCGTTCAACGTGGAGGAATACGTAATGGAATTACTTACGCCTGTTTTTAGTTTGTTAATTGATTTCGGTTTTTATCGTCGATGAATGATAAAAATGGACGCAGATGCAATGAACGTTTCGGATTCTTGTCGATTCATTTCATAGAGATTAGAATCGAGGGATAAACGAGCAAAAACACGTCGACACGTTGTTCTATGGGGTACTTGAAAAGAAATGATCATACTTTACAAACAACAGGGATAACGATATATTCAACTGTAATTCTTCCTATACTCTACTTTTCTACGTGTGGTACTTTTCTGCATAGTGTCTAGAATAGCCTAAAAGTAATGGTAACAGAGATACTTTTGATACCAATTGTGTATAAATTATACATATCTATATATACTTATATATATATACATATTTAAATCCCGTATCTCGTACTGGTGTTGGATGACTGCCTAGCTCATAGTACATAGTTTACATTCCAAGATTTCCAGTTTTTATTAATTCGTAATGAGTAAACAAGCCTAAACCGCTGCATTAGTTTTCACTAGAACTTAGCCTAACGTCTTTAGACTTACTCTTCTTTATTTTTCTTATCTCTTCGAGGCCGGAACTTGACGGCAGGAGATCACTAAATATATTGTAGCATGGAGGAGGAAAACGTTCGTTTTCCTTTGCCGAAATCCATTGAAAGTGGAAAAGAATTTGACGACGTAAACTGCAGTCCCGATGATGAATAATTTCGCTGATAACGCTGTTCCCAATTGGTAACGCGAAGGAATGCATGCGTTCAGATTCGACGTTCTGTGTCTCCTAGTTCTAGTGAAAACTGAGAACAGTCGACGGTGAAAGAGCAAAGCATTTCCTTGATCGCGCGACCCATAGCCCGGCGACTGTGCCAACACAGCCGATGAAGACCATCGATTCGTTTCCTTCCGGTTCACTCGAATCGTCGCCTTTTACGAATTTCTCCTCGCCACCCGGCGCGTGCCATTTTCTTTCCGGTTTCCCCGCGGCCCATTGGAAGATCGTTTGTGGCTCACGTTTGTTCGCCCTTTGATCTCGCTCCCGGAAACGAACCATTGTTCTCGGCCCCGCGCGACAAACGCGTTTCGCCATGGAACATCAGTTATCGCGCGTATGCTGCCAGACAGATGTACGCGGCAGAATTTTGTGAAACGCGTGCCCTTTTTTTGGTCGCCGCCGCTGCACACGGCTATGGGTCACTACGTGTGTGCTATTTTGTACCGCGCGTGAAATATTCCCGGCTAAAATTCGTCGCGAGTCGAGCTTTTTTCTTTAAAAAAAAAAAAAGAGGAGGGCAGACGTCTGGGACAGGACTATTGCCGAGGCCCGATGTGGTGACGAAGACTACCACGAAGATGCAGTCACCTAGGGGCGAGTAATCTACCATCTACCTAAACCTACTGTCTCTTAGAAACGTCGTCGTATTATACAGTGGTTTTTTATTATTATACATTATTCATAGTAATCTGATCTAACGTGACCACGACGGGGTGACAATTTATACTCTCCCCTAATTTATCGTACTGTACAGAAACAGTAATTATCATGATTTTGGTGCACATGACGTAAAAAAGCATCCCGTGGTGGCACGAAGATTGTAGACAACTTAGACAGACCGAGCTGAACAGTTCTAAATAGCCTCTGGTTAGAAGCAGTCAGTAGTAAAAGAAATTCGTTGTCAACTTGACGTTTGTAACTTAACGTTTACAGTAATTAACTTAGTTAGACCTTATAAGATTGCCAACTAAACGTGCGACGGCTGAGGAAATTAATTGCGATTCGCGTCTCTCTATGAATAGTCCGGATCGTGTTTGTCCGAGATTCCGACGGGACACGCGCGAGAGTAACGTGAGACAAGGCTAGTTGGCAATCTTAACGGTGTTTAGGCTATATTAATTAGTCAGAGTTTCGAGTTAAAAATAGAACGACAGATCGACCGATCGTAAGACAGTATCTTTACACGTTGGAAGAGAATTTTTATGTGTCGTCTCAGTTTGATTAAATGGTTATAGACACAGTAGTATAACGAATACTGGCGAGCTTGGAGGCCTCGGCGGTCGCCGGCGGTCCAGGAAATAGCGTACGGGCCGTCTGCCGACCACTGCGACCTCAAAACCGTCGATCCATAGTTTATAGAAACAATATTTTGATAGAAAAGTAGATTAGAGCGTAGATAGTATGAGAGTGGTACCTTTATTTTGTGTGTCGTGTGTATATCCGCAGACTCTTAACTGTCCGTATCTTTTCAATACGTATTATATTACTACATTAATTATTATTATCACCCTTTTTCTAATGTACTGACCAACCCGCTACATCTGCGAATAGTATTTTTTTGGAGTTACTACTTAGTACTTGAGTACCCGTTACCTCGAACCGTTGTTATCACTGTTTTAATACCGTTGGAGTTTACTAGTGTGTTAGAACGCTATATTTAGTTGATTATCTTAGCGGCGTGAGGTACAGTTTTTACGCGTACGTAGTACTTACTTAGAACATTTTCGAGGGCTGAAGGTATAACTGGATATCTATTTATATATAATATATATTACACGTTTCACCGCTATTTTATGCCCATAACCCATACCATTCGAAGGCTCACGATTATCATTATATAATCGTTTTTATCTATATATTTATTAGTTGAATACGTGTGCGTAGTTTAGGATGTGCTGAGTTTGGACAATATTAAAATTTGATCGTCCACCCCTTTTTTAACGCTTCGAGTTCTCGTGGTTGCACGAGGGACACGAACGGAGTTCATAACAGGCCCGGCGCTGTTCACCGACTCACTATTAACTGATCATCGACGTCGCTGTTGATTGAGCGCGTGATTCGTCCAGTGTGTGTTGCTTCGTCGAGGCTCTAACGCTTGGAGCATATTTCAGGGTAACAAGGCCGCTTTTTCGCAGCACGAATGATCGAGCCGCAGGTCGCTGAACGCTTGAATCACGCATTAATAAAATGATACACGGACTCCCGTTACGCACGGTAATCGCGCGCTAAACGCGTTTACCGAAACGATAATAAATTTCGGCGAACCGCTGCTGGTGAAAAATTCTACTGCACGCCGCGCGTAAAAGTTTCATTAATCGATCGGCATTCTCTTCCCCTCTTGTCGCCTCGTAAACCTCGTCATATTTATTTCTCCCCCGTCTGCATTACCAATAACGCTCCGCTTCAACCGTCCGCCGATATTTCAAGAAGACGTATTTTATCAGCGGCTCCGTGATACATATCTCCCGCCATCCAATCCTGTCTGAAGAAAACGAATCGGTGCTCGTGCTAACGCCACACGCGAGGGACACGTGTGTGCATAGGAATATCATATAGAAATGTTCTGTTAAAGGAGACGACACGTGCACGTTATTGGCCACTCTAAAAATTGCCGTATCGATCCATGAAATAGTTCCGCTCTTCCGCGATGTGTAACCAACCGAACAGCTCATTCGACATTCACTTCTCAATTTCGAACGATATTTCCTACTATATGAGAATCCAATAGGCACTCGTTCGTAACGAGGAACTCGATCGAATTCCAATTCTTATTCTTCTAATCCGAAATATTTATTGCTTTGATCCGCCGATAGTAGTTATAATTTTCTTTCGTTTCTCAGTTCTCGTGTTTCAAGCGTTAAACGGATTGAAAAATTGATTGGCCCGCGATCAGGCGACGCGAGGCTGACCATTTCGGGATCGGTTCTCCTGTCAAGAGATGTCACAGTTGCCCTGCTGTCCGATATGTTTCGCGTACCAGGAACAGATTTCGCGGGTAGCTTCCACACCCTCGATCATATCTACGTCAGCTGGAGATACACTCCAAATAGATGAACTCTTGGCCTAGATCTTTATACGTCCCGTGTCGCGTCGTTTCAATGAAAGCGATCGAATCCCGGGAGCGTTAAGAATTTCGCCTCTGCACGAGAGTGCACACGTGTGCTTTCAACCATCTTACTGCTTTTCCCGTTCGCGCGTGTACGAACAATTTTGGATGCGAAGTATCCCGCGGCATTATCGATACGCCTCCACCCTTGACGCCCGCGAGAATCCAGGAGCTCCAAACTACTCGTGGCCCCTTTTCCTTCAATTTTTTTCCCTTTTTTTTTAAAAACCGTGTGTGATAAACGTCTGCGGGCGAGGCTTCTCGGGTTCATTCGTCATTCGGTCGCTGACAGCGCTCCGATTTCCATCCCTTACTTCTACTCTTGCGCTCTGCACTTTGAAAAGCGCCCATTGTTGGGTCAGGGTTCGATACATTCTCGTCGTAAATACTCCTGATTGTGAATTTGTATTCTCGGTTTTGATAGTGAAACTACGATCGTATTTTCGATACCGATCTTCCTTGTAAATAATTGCTCGCTCGAATGCGGGAGAACAAGCGGTATAAAATGTGTCCTCCTTCAGAGGAGGAAACGGAACTACCAAATTTTAATGCAACAATAATCTTAATCTTACGATCGCAGCTGCATTACGTATTCTGCACTCACTCATATCCCTGCGTCGAACTATTGGCTATCAGCTAATCGAATCGCGGAAACAAATTTTCGTGAACCGTATTCGCTGAGCGTTCCTCCCTCCTCAAGGAGGAGCCGGGAATTCGTATTATTTCCCATATCCGGCGTCTTCTCGAGAGAGCCGGCCACGTAATCCAGTGACGAGCATATCCCGCGCAACCGGCCACGCTATTTCCATTTATGGTCGGCGATACGTGGAAGAAAAAGATATGAAGTCACGTAAATCGTCACGGAACAGAGACACGCGGCGAATATGGCGGAACGGTCCGAAACTTCCGGTCGAGGGCGGAGGGTCGACCGTGCCGTCCGATAGAGACAAGCCACACCATTAAGCGGCGTGATACCCCATACAAATCACGTCGATCCGCGATTTATGGTCCGTTCACCCTCTCACGCCGTCGCGTTATCAGCCCTACCGGTTACCGTTCCCGAAACGAGAATCCCGCATTCCGGGAGTACTTTGTTTTCACACTGTCCGAGCCTGCCTCTTTTTTCCCCATTTGCTGTTCGTTTTAATACGTTTCGTGGTCTCTTCTTGACGCCGACGCTGTTCATACTCTCATTATTTAGAGACTCCGTCCTCACGTCATTTGCAAAATTTCGTGCTGATAAATATCTACAACTTTTGATATCTGAATTCCTTCAGGTTCTCCGTATATTTAATCATCGTCGGAAATCTGTTTACACTAGTTTACAGCGTCTCCTTCGAATCCCGCGAGGCTCGCAATGTTTCATTTAGCTCTGGTAATCTCGCTAACCATTTATCCGTACTCAGAGCCACTAACCCAATTAACCCGGAACTGGCTTCGGCGACGTATCGTAATGTTTTGTGTTGTGCAGGAACTTTTAGCTATCATCATCGATCTTTCCTTGATTCTGTACTTTCGACGCTTGTCTACGAGTAATTCGTTGTATATGTTTCGCGAAAGTAGATCGAGTTGTAGTTTTAATTACTACAGACGTGAGTACAATCGTGCAAATATCGTATTTCTAAACGCGCTAATTGGTATTTCCTCTCTCGAAAAAGTACGTTATAGAAGTTGTTTATTCCCGTTTGGTTTAAATTTGAAGCCTCTTTGCAGTCTCGTATAGTATTACCAATGAGAAATGTATTAAATTTCTTCTGTGCTGAACAGAATGGAAAATAATATTAATTAATACATTGAATTTAATTAAAAACAGGATGGAAAAAATTGAACATAAGATTATTGACATTTCATATCATATTCTTTTGTGCTACTCTTAAAGCTGCAATCCGGTCTACCGTGAGATACCCGTGTATCATTCTGATTTATTTTCCATTCTGGTTATTCGATATTAATGACGATTCACCCTTTGAGTTCCTCGCCATCCACACGAACTTCGTATCAATCGACCCTCGCGAGTCCGTCGACACGAGCATAAATTCATGACCAAGTCTCGTTTGGGTGTATTCCCATTTTCGCCGGCCGTCTTTTTTCCAGGTCCCGTCCATTCTTTCCGCTCTCCGCACCGCTTTTGTCGCGCGTTACGCTCCGCGGCTGGTCCGCCTTTGCACGCCGACTTTTAAACTATTTACCCGTGGCTCTTTGTGCAATATCTTTTTCTCTTTTCTTCTTTTGCCTTTCATTCTTTGATTCCGAACGGTAAATGCAGGGGCCGGCGTAATGCGCGCGCGTAGTCCTCGCGTTTTTTTCCCGAGGAAAAGCGAGCCTGTGGAAAAAATGGCGGAGAGCGTGACGTCAGAACATCTGCATTCATCGGCGAGCACAAAACGTCGGTGTTTGTTTGACCGGTTTTAAAGGATCTCCGATTTTTTCTCCTGCCGGCCATTCTTGCGATTAAAATTCCGTTTCCCCGTTCTCATTCCTACCCCTCAATTTTCACCGGGATTATTTTTCGTTTTATTTTACGTTCGAAATAGAAGTCGTGCCGAGCACATGAGAAACGACCCGAAAATTTTCTCCGCGATTGTCGTGTATTTTGGTAGATCGGTGGAATTTTAGAAAAAGCATCGGTCGGTCATTTGTCATGGTCACCGATTTTGTTCAATGTTCATTTACGATCTTTCCACCTTTCGACTTATTTTAGTTCTTTTAATTTATTACGTAAAGTAAGTATTGTACCATTGAAATAATTAAAACAAGTTTTTCCGGCATCGTTGGTTCAAAGTATGAGACTATCAATTTAGAGTTCAATAGTGAAGGTAAAAGTACACTATACTAGTTTTTGGATAATTATTAGTGATTGTTTGTGATGGTAAATTATTGCTAGAGTATTACGTAAGAGTAACTAGAGATCCCTTTTCGATTAATGTTTAATTCTTGTTCCTAACATCGTTCAAGTTTGTATAGAACCATACTTTCCAATATATCATTCATATTTGTTCGTTGAATACGTACATAGTTTTTTTTTCTCGTTCCTGCAATGAAATGTAATTTTCCAAATATCAGTTTCATACTTGACTCCAATAATATATCAATATTCAGTTGCAAAAGCGTGTATAAATAACTTCAATCGATTTCATGATCAAGCAAACGATTATTATCTTTATTGAAAATCTCCATTTCTGTTTTATACACGCGTCGTTCCGATTTTTTTTTGTTTCCTCATTCTCAGCTCTCTTCTTGTTCTTTATTAATGTCAGGAGTGCCGGCAATGTACTACCACGGAACGGGAAGCGAGAACGCAAGCCACGCGTATACGGAGACGCCGATGCAACACGTCCAACGGACTGCGCTCCGGAAGAAATGTATGAAGTCGACATAGTCACATTTTGGACCGTGGAAAGAAAGACAGACAGGCATCACGTCTTCTCTCCCTCTTTCTTCTGTTTGCCTAAATATTTTCGCGATTCTTTCTACGCTCCATTTCCTCTCTCTCTCTCTCTCTCTTTTTCTCTGTTTAAGCGTTATCTGGCTCTTTTCATTCGGTTCCTCCATTCACTTTCCCCGCGATACATCGATCACCATCGTTACAGTTTATCGGCGCCTTGGAACGCAACAACGCTTCGGTTCTCACCCCTTCTCGCGTTTCGAAAGCTGGCTGGCAACGTTTCTGTTCCACGTCATTGATCGCGATTCATACATCCCTGCCGGTTCCGCAAGCGAGGAAATAATCGTGTCGCGTCGACGAGCTGAGCGCCTATCGTAACCCGTCAATCGATAGCGGCGTGCCACGCCATGTAGTAGGTTCTATTACCTTGCGACAAAATATTTTACGAGCCTTCGACGCGTTCGTCACGCGTCGGACGCGACGCATTCGGTCGTCCGTACAGACGGTACGAGCCGTTCCTCGACAGACCTCCAGGTAAATGTCGCGTAACGCAACGAGAGCAGCGAAGGGCAAAAGAAAGTTTCCCCGCTGGATGCCAGTCGACGCAAAGATTGCGCCCGTTCACGCTTTATGTCTCGTGAAGCATTTCGTTTAGTGCCGCACGTCCAGAACGGAAAGTAGCGACGAGTTTGAGGAGTACACAGCGAACGTCGACTCGGTGTCAGCGTGTAATGTAGTTGGGCCCAGTAGTCTAGCCCGAGCGCGGCTAAACGATAAAAAGAAAGGAGAGAATGACACAGAGTCCGGGAAAGAGTCAGGACGCAGAAGGAAAAAATGTGCTCGCACGATCGTCACACGGCGTACAAAGAGGATCGATGATAAAGCAACACACACGGGAAAATCACGTCTCTGTTCTTCCTTCTCGGCTGTTACTTTGACATTTACACGATGTCTCTCTATTTCTTCTTTTTTTTTTTTCAGTTTTTTTAAAACTCTCTCTCGTTCCTTTAATCAGCTACAGACAGTATACTATTCTCTCTCTTTGCCTATCTCTCTTTTTACTCTCAAATATCTCTCTCTCTCTCTCTCTCTCTCTCTCTCTCTATCTGCCTATGCCGAGTGGCAGTAAACGAGAAAAAACGAAGTAGCGAAAGCGCGCTACACACACTCGCGTATTTGACGCTGAAGTGCGGAGCAGTTGTGATCAGAGTTTTATGTTTCAGTGGATCTTACCAACGGACAGCTCACCCCCAACAACAACACGCCCTTGCTCACGCAAGCACTTTCTGGTACGTCTAAAAGTTTTCCTTTTCTTTTCGGCTTCGATCCTACCTACCTACCTACCTACTGCTTTCTTAATTTGTCTCGCATTCGTGAAAAAAGAAAGAGGATCGCAGGATTATGTACACGTGTCATGTATATACAGATCCGCATACGTATATGTGCCTACGCCATCAGAATGCACGGCCGATAGGTTCTCGCTGGGTACGAAGCACGGTTTCCGATCCTTGATAGCTTTTCATTATCGAGTCACGCGATAAGGCGGTATATAACGACGAGAGAGAGAATAACGACGGCTAGCTAGCTGCTGTTGCTTCTTGCTACCGGGAGTCGGGCCCTTTCATGATCGTTAGATCGAGACGTTAGTAAGTACAGCGTATAGCAGCCAGGCATGGCTGGGATCCGGTATTACGACGCTCACAACGGGACTTGGAACTCGCGTAATTCAATCCTCTTTCGTGATTCGATTCTCGAGCTTTAACAGAAACAAGCTTTGCGTTACGCCATAATGGCAAATTGCGAGCCTGGTTCGGCAGCTCCTTCGTCGTACTTTGGGCGGAGAACAGTCTCGGAACACCGGTGGCTCCCGCGAACTTTCCAAAGGTTAACAGTGGATATGATTACCTACCCTCCGGCCGACTGACTTCTCCTTCGCGGAAACGCAACGCTCCGATTCTTCTATTATTCTATTGCCGTCTTGCAGCGAGGGTATCGTAAATGCATGGAGTATTGTACGATCTTCGGTTTCTTGCTTATCGGTCAATGGACTTCGTTTTTGTGCATGACCTTCGAATTTCTTGATCGTTTCTATTCCTATGGTGGTGATCAATGTGAAACGGTATTTGAAAAGGGTTAAAAATGCCGATAGAGATTCCGTGGTTCCTCAATTTATACGGATGTTTCATAGATTCGTTTAACGTTATATTATTGTGCTTTATATGGCTTATAAGTAAAATTAGAAAACGTCTTCCACCGGACAATGGGCCATTGTAAGTCGCAATTAGACTAAGTCACGTGCACGACCATTTGCCAGTAGGGTTCTCCTCCTAAACGAGCAAAGGAAAAATCCAGTCGCAATTCCGTTTAGAATTCTTTCTCTAAGAATCTGCGCTAATTTCTCGAAAATGGCCACGGTTCAGAGCGCTTTTCACGACACACGCCGTGAAAGGAGTTTCTTCTTAGCAGGCGAGGGATGCGGAGGGTGGCGAAACGATCCGACAAGACGGGGAAGAAAAGGCGGCACGGAATTCTGAAAAGTGTCACACATGTAGGGCGACTGGATGCCGGCAGCGAAATACACTGACTCCAACCCTTTTATTTTTTTACTCATTCTCCCACCTCTACTCTCCCTCTCTCTCTCTCTCTTTTCTTCCATCCACTCCCTCTGCCCCTCTGTGCCGTCCGCAATCTTCCCTCAAATAAATCAAACTTCTGAATCTCGCTCGACCTACCCCCACCGCACCCCCACGCTCCACATCGGCGAACCCGGGCCACAGGCAGAAAACTTTGTAACCGACCGGCATTGTCGAGAGTTTAAAAACTGAATGGGTTTTTAGATTGTACATCGAGCGCTTTCGGTTTGTCACAGTCCGCCCTCCGCCCTTTCCTTCGCTCGACAAGTTTCGGATTCTTCACGTTCCTTCATCACGGAATCTTTTCCGTTTTCTTCCATTTCTTCTCAATTGTCGACCATTCTACGAACGCTTTTTCTAATTATAGTTCGATATTTTCCCATGGGAACTTTCTCGTTCAATAATCTACATCTGCTGGTCGAGGATTGAACATGATTTAGTAGTAACTCGCGTTCTCTTCGCGTCCTGTTTATTCCCTCTTCTCGTAAAACGCAAGCGCAACCGCCTTTTTTTTACCTTTTTCCGTGTATCACTGTTCATTTCGTGGCATGTTCATTTTTGTCGTAACCGAACTAACATCAGCCATGAGAGGATGTAGCACGTGGCGAGAGTCAGAAGCGAGAAATCGTTCCCTCTCGAGGAGGAAATGCACCGCGCCCGTTATGAGCAGCAGCAGCAGCCGCGAGTCACTTTAGAAGAGCTAAAAAGCACGTGCTCGAGGATCCTTCTTTGTGTGTTGGTCGCTCGTTTACTGTCTCGTGCGATTGCGTAGCTTGTCCTGGCGACGTGTTCAGCATACCGTGCCCGCGCTACGACGACGCAACGAATTTCTTGTCCTATTACGCGCAAGCCTGTCTTGTAATCCGCTTATTGAGTGTCTCCTTTTATTTGCTTCTTCCACGTTCTACGTGTTGTACCACGATTACTTGTCACCGATGACGGCGACGCTGTTATACCACTCTCTCTCTCTCTCACTCTCTCTTTTTTAAATGTATATCTATCTGTGTTCTCTATGTTCACATACTGTATTGATGCGTATTTGCATCAATATTCGTTTCTGTATTTTCTGTCACAACAGTGTTAATGTAGACAATTTTACACCTTTTTCATTTCTATTTGTAAACGACACCGATATATTAGATTATTTTCCGCGAAAATAATTTATTGCTTGCTAACTGACGTGTTTCTTGTGCTGCGGGATATACACATGTACATGTACTAAAGGATATGCTAGTTGTCGTGATGTTGGCTGCGTGAGTTTGTTTCTGACATTGTAAAAACGATACGTTAAATAAACCGGGATTAGTTCCGATAAGATTCGCGTTAGTGCAGACTTAGGCAATTATATAGTAATATTGTGACGATTACTATAACAGTTTAAGAGCGTAGAGCCAATGAAACAGATGACTTACGTTAGTTATTAAGGCAATCGACTTGTTTCTTTCTAGCATGCTGTTAAAAATTCTTCGAACATGTATAATGTGCGATATTTCACTTACTCTATCGATCCAAAAGCAATCGGAATTCGAATAAGTAAGAACAATTATTTCCGTTGGCTGAAACAATTACGTAGGAGTATTTTGCAAAATTCTATTCTTCCCTGGCTTATTACTATTCTATATGTTCTTCTCTTACTATTTTTTGTGTCCGAAAAATGTCTATTTGTACTCTATATGTATTGTATACTTATATATTGCACTTTATATTCTACCAATAACAGAGTATTTTAAGAACGTACACATCCTGTCCACACGCAATCAACCAATACTCTTACTCTCGCAATTGTTTCACCCAGAAACTTGAACAAGGTGTGTACACTCGATCATGGAGCTTGTCTAAACCGCGCGTTTATCCGATTGTTTTTCCTCCGACGAAATCAGGGTCGCGTGAACGAGTCGCCCGGCCCTGGAGTCCAATCCCGGCTCGTTTCACGATTAATTTACACAGTGCCTCGTTCTACCGCTTTTGTACGTCCACCCGAAAAAAAGAAATAGAGAACAGAATACAAACAATCCAGTACACAACCCATTTCCTGGTGTTCGCCGGAGTCGAACCGGAAGCGTCCGAAGGAAATCAGGACATTACACGAAACGACACTTACTCTCGAACAACCCTTAAGCTTTCCGCGTAGCGTGTTCTTTTGTACGCGCGTGAGACGAGGACGCGACGGCAACACGGTTGGCCAGTTCACGGCCGTGACCACCGCATCACGGAAGAATGTTTAAAAAAAAAC